AGAGTGTTGACATGTTGTGGGGTTGTTAACCAATGTCATAAAACAATATGTGTACTGACTGTTTAATGAGAAACTATTTGTTCTACAAACCTTCATCTAAAGTACAATAAAAAAATTAAAATAAAATAAAACAAAATAAAAAAAACCCCACAAGCAATAGAGGGAAAAAGGGACCTGTTATTTACTAACCACCTACCATCTCCCTGGGTGGCAGAAATGGTTAAGTGTTCCATGACTAGCCGAAAGGTTGGTGGCTCCAACCCACCCAGAGGTGCCTTGGAAGACAGACCTGGCAATCTGCTTCTGAAAGGTCACAGCCTTGAAAACTCTGCTCTGCACCCTTGGGGTCACCATGAGTTGGAATTGATTTGATGGCAACTAACAACAAAAACAAATGTGCCAGTCAGTGTTGGGCACTTTATACACATTATCTCATTTAATCCTCACACAATGCAGGGGTGCAATTGATTACTCTTGTTTTAGAGCTAAGGGCAAGAAGACTGGCAAAGGTCAAATGATTTAAGAAAGACTTAGAGCGGGTAAACGGCAAAGCTGAGAGCTGAACCCAGGTCTCGCTGCCTCTTAAGACCCTACCCTTCCCATTAAAACCAATACACCAAATCCGTTGCCGTTGAATTGATTCCTACTCATAGCAACCCTGTAGGAGAGAGTAGAACTGCCCCATAGGGTTTCCAAGGCTGTAATCTTTACAAAAGCAGACTACCATGTCTTTCTCCTGAGGAGCGGCTGGCGGGTTTGAACCATTGACTGTTCAGTTGGCAGCCAAACACTTCACCATGGCACTACCAGGGCTCCTTTCTCTTCCCATTACAGTTCACTATATTGAGCAAAGGGCTGAACACTTCACAAACTAGATAATCCAGACATTGACTATGTAATTAGGATTTGGAAGCTTGGATGTGCTCAGTCTCAAAGTCAAGTAACTTGTTCCAAAGCATTAAATGCCTTCAGGTAATTACATTTTGGTAAGAAAGTTAAAGGGAACACTGTCATGGTTTCAATTATGTTCCCCCAAAAAACCTGTGTATCAATTTGGCTGGGCCATGATTCCCAGAATTGTCTGGTTGGCCTCCATTTTGTGATTGTAATTTTATGTCAAAGAGGATTAGGGTGGGATTGTAATACCACCTCTACCCAGGTCACATCCCTGATCCAATGTAAAGGGAGTTTCCCTGGGGTGTGGCCTGCACCACCTTTTATCTCTCAAGAGATAAAAGGAAAGGGAAGCAAGCAGAGAGTTGGGGACCTCCTACCATCAAGAAAGCAGTACCGGGAGCAGAGCGCGTCCTTTGGACCGGGGTGCCTGTGCAGAGAAGCTCCTAGTCCAGGGGAACACTGAAGAGAAGAAGGCTGACAGAGAGAAAAAGGCTTCCCCTGGAGGTGACACCCTGAATTTGGACTGTTAGCCTACTTTGACTGTGAGGAAATAAACTTCTCTTTGTTAAAACCATCCACTTGTGGTGTTTCTGTTATAGCAGCACTAGACGACT